AAGGGGAGGCGGTGGAGAATACGCCCCCAGTTGATGAATTTCTGGATCAGGAAGAAGACGTTCGTCTTCATATCAACAAATGGTCGCCGCGAGTGCCCAGCTGTGTAGGCTATCCTATCTGGCAAGCGCCAAAGGAGTATGAAAGGAGGAATGAGCTAGTCCTTAAGCCCTTTGAGGAAGAAGATCCCTGGGGTGGTAAGGATGTTCAGTGGATGATGGAGCTAGCGCTGGCCAGCTCGCATAGCCTGGTGGAGGACATGAGAACGATTGAGGAAGGATCTGGCCAGGTAGAACGGCATGAGGACCTGATGGGAGGAATGTATCTACTCGTCAACACGTTATTGCAGGAAGGCCTCGACCAATCAGGCTCGTTGAACTCGACAGGAAATGTGGACGGAGTGTCCGAGAGCCAGAACGACGAGTTCGAGGAAGTAGAGATTAAGGAGGCTTTTCGTGCAAAGGAGTACGACGGGATCTACCTAGAACTGGGGCTTCTTCTGTCATGTGAAATGCGGCTAAGGGATGCAAGCGATAGGGCTCAGAGGATGCTGCAACGCTACTTAGTGCGAGACGGCCACCTTTTCGTGAGAAGAGAAGTGGGGAATCCCAGGAGGGTCGTCTGCGGTAGGAATCGTCAGATCGACGTCGTAGCAGCACTACACGATGGCATTGCAGGAGGGCATCAAGGGGTGCAAGCCACGTATGCCAAGATAAGTGAGCAGTACTACTGGGATGGAATGATGGATATGGTCGGGAAATTTTGTCGATCCTGCGTGCCCTGCCAGGAGAGATCCCGTTTAAGGCAGGGAGAGCCGCTGCATCCAAGGTTAGAGCGAGAGGTGGGAGTCGTAGTGCATCTCGATCTGCTTTTTATGCCACTTGGGGATCAGGGCTATAACTATATCTTCGATACATGCGATAACCTGTCTGGGTTCGTAGACGGGCGTGTTATTCGCACCAAGACCGGGTTAGTCTTAGTGAGCTGCATCGAGGAATATTACCTGCGTTACCCTTTCGTCAGGGAATTCGTAATGGACAGGGGATCGGAGTTTACCTGCCAAGAGGTGCAAGAATTGTTATCAAGGTATGGTGTAGCCGCCAACTACACCACGGTCGCGCACCCCAGGCAAATGCTCCCGTAGAGAGAGGACATAGTACCATTACGAGTCTCCTGGCTAAGTGGACCGAAGGTAGGCCTAATCAATGGTCAAGATACCTAAGGGCGGCGTTCTTTGTCGAGAACATTACAATAAAAAGATCCACCAAACACGCACCGGCGACATTGTGGTATGGAAGGCACGCCACCTTCCTTATCGAGAGTTTTCTTAAGACATGGAAGCGCCAGGATCTGGAAGTTAACCTGTCATTTGAAGAATTGCTCGATATTCGAGCACGGCAGATAAGAGCGATAGAAGAAAGGATCCAGGAGGCGTCTGACCAGGTGGCGAGAAGTCGTATGGACGATAAGGCTCGATGGGATCAATCTGCGCGGGTGAGGAAAGTACCCTTGGCAGTTGGAGATGTCGTGCTTCTCTACGATTCATCACTGGAGAAGCAATGGTCCAGGAAGCTCGATAAGAGGTGGTTGGGTCCCTACCGGATCATACGGGTCGGAGACTTCGGAGCGTATCAGATAGAGGAGCTAAATGGGACTGGGTGGAAGGATTGGGTATCTGGAACGCGACTGAAGAAATTCGTGGCGAGAGAAGAGGTAAGAAAGATGACCTAACTGCCTCTAGAATAGAAGTAGCAGGGTGTGTAGGCTAGGTAGGATGTATGCTGTGTGAGTGTGGTCTGGTCTAAGTTTGCTTGATTATCACCTGTTTTTCTTACCCCAATGTGTGCCTGTTGTCTCCTTCGCCTGTTGTGCAGGTCTGACTTTACGAAGACAGCCATGCCAAGAGGAGGGAGGGGGACACGGCCGCCTCGGAGGCCGTTGGGAGCATCAGGAGGATATGAGCGACATGGGCCTCGCCATCGAGAGAGTACTCCAGTATACGATGATGGGGACATCGAGCTATTCCTGGACAGTTTTTGGGATCATGCGAGGCGTATGGGCTGGACCGTGGCCCAAGCAATCGAGGGACTGAGGGGACTCGGCAGATTCGAGAAGCCCATTGCGCGGATCCGTAGAGAGGCGACGACGAGATCAGAGGTGGAGTGGAGGATGCAGGATCTGCGACCCTCGCCTGTGGGACCAGATGGCAGGCCGATCCGTCTAGAGATCGGAAACGTGGCAGACTTCATCCCTGCTTTCGAGTGGTTCATGCAGGGGCAGGGTATACCGAGAGATGAGTGGGCGAGGACGCTACCACTCTGGACCAGGAAGGCGGAAAGGCCGCTGGCTAGCCAAATCAGAGACATGGCCCGGGGCTGGGAAAGCTGCGGGGCACATCTAAGAGAGGCCTTTCGACGGCCAGAGCCCTCCCAGCCCAGAGTCGAGAGACGTCGGAGGAGTCAGAGGTCGAGGGATCCTGAGCCCAGGGAGGTGAGACCGTCTCGGGGAGGACGGAAGGCCCTAGCCAGGAGAGAGGAGGAGCCGGAGCGGGAGCCAGAGGTTGAAGAGCGAGGGGCATACCCTGAGTGTGGGCTGGGACCAGTGGAGTTTCATCGTTTTACTGAGGGTGGATTGAGGAGGTCACCAACACACACACGGGAGGAGCCGCCAGTGTCTGAAGGGCCGTTGAGAGAGTTAGAAACGCATCTGGATATCTCTCAGTGGAAATCGTCGCCTCAGGATGAGAAACATGAAGAGCAAGTAGAAGGGGTGCCACGAGAGGAGGTACCACAAGAGGAGGTGCCACGAGAGGAGGTGCCACGTGAGGAGGTACCACGAGAGGAGGTGCCACGAGAGGAGGCGCAGGGTAGACATGGGGAGACGTGCAGGGAAGGAAGTGATAGAGGTTGGAGAGGACACACCCCCACAGGCGCCAGCAATGGGTTTGAGACTCATGGATGCACCAGGGAGCGCTCGTCAGGCAGAGGAGAGATTGCGGAGAAAGGAGGCCCCACTTCCTTCATCAGAGAGGGCTCCATCGCCAGAGGGGAGAGCCGGCAGGAGAAGAGAAAGGGCAGCTGTAAGAAGGGAAGCCTTGACCCTGATTGATAGGCACCTAGCAGCTTATGCCCTGGAGCATCCAGACCTGGAGGAGCCAGCACCTGCTGAGCCGCGCCGGGAGCCGTACCAACCCGAGAAGGAGATGGAAGCAGAAATCCCGAAGAGGGTCGACCTCCGCACGAGGGAAAGGGCGCCAGTTGGAGAGACGACTGAAGAAAAGAGGGCGAGAAGAACTAGACGAATAGATGAGATATGGCAGGAGAGGCAGAGATTGGAGGCAGCGAGGGAGCTCCCGGAGCAGCAACAGGAGAGGCAGAGATCGGAGGCAGCAGGAGCACTCCCATGACAGCCACCCAGCGTGTCAGCCAAGGCCCCGGAGATTCCTGAGATGTGGAGAGACTTCTGGGAGCAGAGAGGAGAGGAACTTCCATCGCCAGTCAAAGCCGGGTTTGGGGTGGCCAGGAAGGCGGAAGAAAGGTTAGATCGTAAAATCAAGTTCCTGGCCAAGACCACTTTTGACCGGCACTTGTTATTGGAGGGCGATCTGACAGGGAAGAAGATGAAGGAAGCAAGYCATGGAGTACGCCTGGAGGCTATGGAAATGGAAATTCAGGAACTCAGGGCCTTGGTGGCCAGCCAGGCAGCTATCATCGAGAGCCTGAGGCAGCAAACCCAGGGAAGGGTGGACAGGCCAGAGAGCAGCAGGCAGGGAGAGCAGAGGCAGCTGGGACAGGGATTGCCAGGACAACCATCTACAGCAGAGCCTCGCCAGGAGCCACCTATGGGGAGATCTATCCTGGACCCAGAGGAGTCGAGAGCCCAGAGACAGGCAGAGAGAGAGGCGTTCGAGCTTAGAGCCCCTACTGAGCTTGCGAAGCTGCCAGTGGCGGCGACAGGCCCAGTCGTACCTTTGGCAGTAGAGGAGGGGCTGCCACCATCTAGCAGTGAGCCGGCTCGGGGCTCAACAGAGGGATCCATGGGCGTGCTCCTTGAGGCGGTGCATACTATGCAGGAGGAGGTGAGTTTGTTTTCACCTGAGCAGAGGATAGAGGAGCCTCTTGAGAGAGAGATAGGGATTGAGGCGGAGAGTGTCATAGAGAGCAGGCTCCAGAGGATGGGCACGCCTGAGTATGGGCCGGAGGGGATTGAGGAGCAGCCCGTGGCAGTGCCAGGAGAGACACTCGAGAAGAAACCTCAGAGGTTGGACACACCTGAGTACGTCCCGGTAACAGGGGATTTGAGGAGCAGACTGGGGTTTTGGGCTACAGGATCTGGGTCTGGGGGACCGGTTCCTAGGACAGAGCAGCAGGAGGTAGTTAGTACCGCCGCTCCTCAAGCAGAGCAGCAGAGGGTTGTTAGTACCTTGGCAGGATCTCCTTCATCACCACCTCCTCAGCCCAGGAAGAAGAAGTTCAAGAGGAAGGTTGATCAGCTATGTTTCTACTGTAAGAGGAGCGTGCATCATGCTCTGGACTGTCTCGAGTTTCTTGAGGATAAGGCAGCAGGGAAGGTCTCAGAGGCAGGGGGTAAGATGTATGATAGACAGGGTAGGATAGTAGAGAAGTCCGCAGATGGACTTAGGACTCAGTTATATAGGCAAAACCAGGAGGAATTGAGGAGATAGTGTCGGTTTGTCTATATAGGTGGGCGAGTATCTTGTGAGGCATCAGCTTAGGGTCTGTGTGATACCCTCTTAGACTTCGAGGATCTTTTTTATGATTGCTACTAGTGTAGATTTAAACTTTTGTGTTCCTACTGAGTTGGGGTTTTGAGGGTCAGGGTGGTTTAGATGAGGCGTGTACATATTTAGGTGGCCTACGCCCTGGCCTTTGAGAGACAGATTTGACATGTATTCTAGGGGTAGTTGTCAGTGTGGGTTTGGTGTGGCTTGAGTTGAGCAAGCTATGATTTGGAGACACTTTCTGTGTGAGACATTGTACTCCCTGAGTATATATTATGATGAGGTTTCCTCCAGGGACCATTCTTATATGTGACGATCACTTGTCTCTCTCACATGTGTGGTTGTACTCTGATGTATAATGAGTTTGTGTGGACAATGTGTAAAAAAAAAAAACCTTTTATGTATCTTGGGTATTGTGAATATGATTGTAAGTAAAACTGTCTACTCCTCGGTATATTTGTGCGACTTGTCCACGGGCAGCTGATAGGGCGGGGTATAAGGGGAGGAAGTGCAGTCCGTCTGTGAAAGGTTGTGAGGATTTGAAAATTTATGAACCCAAGGCTCAAAATGCCTATCATGTTGATTATTGAATGCCTAAGTTGTGATGAGGACTCATAAGATGGTCTCTCAGTGATTTTGTTTATGATAAGCCCCCTCGGATTTTGGAGAAGGGGATGCTTTTGTGACAATGTGGGTTATGATAAGACCCCTCGTGATTTTTGGAAAAGGGGGTGTTTTGTTTTGTGGTGAGACCCCTCGTGATTTTTGGGAGAGGGGGTGTTTTGCTTATGATGAGAGCCCTTTGGATTTTTGGCAAAAGGGGATGTTTTTGTTGTTAAGAGACTCAGCTTCAAAGGTGAGTAAACTGATTTATGACATGGTAAGTTGCCTGATGAGTGATAAAGTCTGACGAAAAAGGGTCACTCTTCGGAATGTTTGAAAAAGTCGCAATGAGTGCAGGGCGAGAGATGTCTCAGGGTGAGTGGCTGCTGACTCTGATCAAGTCAGGGGTCACGGCCTGGTGGATTTAGCGGTGATTTTGTTTGTAAGCGTACGAAGGATGCCATGCCTATTGAGGGAGGGCTGGTAAATGCCTTCGGACCCCTGCGTATCGCGCAGTGGGCCTGTGATTTTGTTTTGCGACGCACTCGTTTAACCATTGGTGCTAATTCTGAGACATATTGAAGAAAGGCCAAGCTAACGGAAAAGAAGTTAGTACCTCTAGGGCGTAACCCCATTGGATGGCTGCTAGCCGGCGCAACCTGGCTGCGGGACCGCAGGGTAAGAGTTTAAGGGGAGTTACCCGCCCCAGGGAAATTACTCTGTGGGATAGTGAAGGTTGAGATTTTGGGAAGTCCTGATTGAGTGTTTATCAAGAGAAACCCTATCGTTGCGTAACCAACGAGGGTACTGCCATTAAATAACAATGCGGTGGGCCGTAGTCCTGATCCGATCAATCAGGCTATGGTGGGCCAAGATGGAGACCTAGCCTTTCTGTACTAGACTGCAGAAAGAGTTGAGCGGATACTAAGTATTTGTATAAACTTATGAAGGTTTGATTGCGAGAGATTGTTTTGAGAAGAAAGGCGATAGTGCCTTCAAAGGTCTCGATTAAGGCCCGTATCCCTAGTTTTGGCCTGGACTAGGGACACCCAACTAAAAGCCGAAGGTTGTCTAGGATCAGGGAGAGGACGATTGGAAAGGTCTTTGGAACTTATGCTGTCAGTGTCCTAATATCTGGACGGTGAGAGGCCCAGGTTAGAAACCTGGCAGCATATAGTTTTGGAGGCATGGTTTGATGGAGGCCTCTACCCTGTGTTGGTCGGCCAATCAGATTGGCTCCTTTCTCGTCAACATTTGGAATGTGGATGGATTTATAGCCTTCTGATTTGGCGAAGTGACGGGGACGTCGCTTAATATGGTCCGGTAAGCTGTCGGCGCGAATACCCTTACAAGGGTATCCGCCCTGGGTTTTGCAGGTGACAAAAAAAAAAAAAAAAAAAAAAAAAGATTCAGAATTTTTAAGTATATCGCGCGAATCGCGGTAGTCTTCGTTGTGTATGCGACTAGATGTTTG